ATCATACTCCTACTCTAAATAATAGTACTAGTATTAATGCATTACACAGCCACACACATCCCCATCCACCACCAACCAATCCCCTAACATAATCAATCCATCATTCCCAATGACTCAAAGATAAGAAAGAAAGACTAATTGCTAGACAAAACAAGACATGCCGTGTCAACCCTGCAGCTAAACCATCAGCCTCGGCAGTAGTAGTAGTAGTAGTAGTAGTAGTAGCGGTAGGCAGCAGGAAAACCAGGAAAATCAGTGTCTTACATCAGGATCTAACTAACCAGTAGAAGTTACTTACCCCGCATTAACCTACCTACTAGATTAACACCTTAAATTCCAGGTATATGTTAGTTATTCTGCCTTGATAGGCAGCAGCAGCAGCAGCAGCAGCAGTCCTTGCCACTGCATGCATGCATGACTACTACTATTGATCGACTTGGATGGGATTGGTCAATGGGTCATGAATCGCGGTGCTGGGGGTTGGCTGCAGGATCTGAGTCAGTCAACTAGCTAACTAGCCACTTACTACTAACTACTTTAGATTATATCAGGCTAGTGTACTGGTATAGCTATAGTAGAGTGTATTAATGAACTTGTGATGGCTGAATTTGGTATATTATTATGATAGTATTCGATTGTATTGAGTATTTCTTATCATGCAATATGCGATCCTGGTTGTAGCCACGGCATTAAAAAAAAAGTTCGAGTATGCGCCTTCTCATGATTATCAAAAACATACAAGAGACGACTTTGGAAAATGCCAGATGATAGATAGATAGATGGTGGACAGAAGAAAAAAAGAAAAAGAACTTGAATGACACAAAGAGACAACCGCACTTCATAAGTGGAAATCTAAAATCACGCTGATGAGAAAGCTCATAATATCCCAATCCCCATTTTTAACCATGCCATGACAGAAACGGACCCCAAATCAAGAAGCAATAAGAGAATGATGCAAAAGGTTAAAGAAATGAAAACAGAAAAAGGAAAAAAAGAAAGCGCTATAATACACGGAGTGAGTATTCTATACCAGTGGCAGGTAAGAAATGTTCGCGTCCTAGGAAAGCAAATTCTTCAAAGACGGACTCGCACTAGCCCCTGACCCGCCATTCGTCCCGCTGGCCGTGGTATGCCTGGCGGCGCTAGGTATAACCGGTGTGTCTTCTGGCTTAACCGGAGGCGTCGGTCCTCGTGGATCCATGTGTGCCTGCGAGACGGGCGGCGACTGTGCTGGCGCCCCAAGCACGCGATCCACAGAGTAGACACGTGGCGGGGGCCCACCATTCAATGCGCTTAGCGAATGTTGAGGCGAGTGCCGGACCATTGTCGCCTGTACATCCGGAGGCGATGCCGACGGAGCATATGGGCGAGGGCCTGTCGCATGGGAAAGATGAGGTGAGGGCATTGACACAGGTCCATACGGGCTCTGGTGCGTGGGGAATGGCTGGGGAGGGGCGTGGGATCCCGGAGGGTAATGGGATAGCGGTGGAGCATGATGAGAGGGGGTGGGCGGAAATCCGTTCATATGGTGTGCGGGCGGTGGTGGCGGCGGTGGTGCTGCTGCCCGATAGCCAGGGACAGGTAATCCGTTGCGCAGCTTGCTGTCACCAAAATCCGCCGGACGCTGTTCATAGCCGGGGTGCCATTCGGAGCCGCCGTGAGGGAGCCCCATCGGTCTAGGAAGCACTCCAGATTGCGGCGGATGGCCATGGTGATTGCCAAATGGGTGGTTGTGGTACTCGGTGAGCTTGGGCGCAGGCAGGACCGGGCGTTGTGCCGAGTAGGGAGATGGACGAGGCTCGGGCGATGGCTGGGGTTGGGCCACCGGCTTCTTAAGATGGCACTTGTGGCACTCGTACAAAGTCTGCGATCCTTCGCTGTTGACCGCCGATAAAGCAGTCTTCTCTGGACTGTACTCCCCGTTCAGGCGCGGCAGACCATGCTGGGATGGAGTCTGATGGAGATATGGAGGGCTTGCAGAGGCCGTGCTGAACCGAGACCCCACAGGGTCATTCAGACCAACCCCGTTAAGCAGAGGCGTCCGGTGGTCGACTCCGGTCGTGCGTCGCGACTTATCCAGAGGCCACCATCTGGGGCTGAAGGAACTCGAGCAGCGCGCACACTTTCTCGTCACATCAGTATCAGTGACAGGCCGGGGGGCATGATTTTCAGAATCGATCACCATCTCATCCGGAGCATCCTCTGGTGTTTTGTGATTGTCCTTTGGCGTTGTCGAAGCTGCTGGTGCTGCTGGAGCCGCTGAGACCACCGGGGGTGCCGTGACACTGTGAACAGAGGAGACTCGGCGGTTTGCGGAAGGTGTCGCAGTCTGATGTGAGACATTGACCAATTGTTGCACATATGCCGCCTTTCTAATGGTTCCCGTCAAGGTCAGGTCGGCTTGCTTGTATGCCTCGGCATACCGCCGCAGGGCGTTGACACCCTCTTCTTCTGTAGGCTCGCCGATCTCATGGATCGTCGCCGACACTGGATGATGAGGGCACCAGATCCCCGCCGAGGCCGATCCAACCTCTTCTCCTAGCCGTACACTGTTCACAGTATCCCTTCTAGAGCTTTTGATGGGGGTAATGTCAAACCCAAACTTGTACTGCGCTTGGAATGCACAACCGACGTGGAAACGGGCGTTGCAGTTGTTAAAATGGCACGGCACACATGCGCCTTTATCGCTCTTGCAGATCTTGCACACATCGCGCCACCTATCCCTTGGGATCAGACTGAATCCCTCAGCTGGCTCGAGCTCCTTTGCGTTGCCGAATTTGATCTCTGGCGTCCACATGGCACACGTGACATGCACCCAGTTGTTGCCGGCCGTTCGCTTCAATGGCTCTCGAGGACCGATGGGCTTGCCCACGGCCTCTTGCCTTTGCCGGTAGAGTTTGATAGCTTCATTGACCATCTCCTTTTCCAGCCGCTCCTTCTCCCGGTCTCGTTCAGTCTTCTTCTTGTGCGTGGACCTCGGCGCCTCCATCAATTCATGCTCCGTCCAGGTCACCGGACACAGGACACATTCATACGTAGTCGAGATCATGGGGTCGCGATCGTTCGAGCACATATCGCAAAGCCACTTGACGCAGTTCCGCGACGGGCTGACACCGTAGCAGCTTCTGTGCACGGTCAGGCGGCAGTCACGGCAAGACAGATGCTGGTCGCCTTCCGGCTCCATCTTGTTGCAGATGGAGCAAGGGAGCGTTTTGGCCCTAGGGGGATCGGGAACGATTGGTGGAGGTTCAGGGATGCGGTCCGCAGCGACTTTCTTCTTTGGAGCTGGCTCCACGGAAGTGGCTGTCGATGTCGCGGCGCTGTCTTTCTCGGTGGTCCGCCCCCCCTTCTTCTTTGTAGTCTCCTGCTGCACCTGTGGGTTAGCGTTCACCGGGACGCCGATTGAAGCCGCAGTCGCTGCAGTCGCGCTGTTGATACTGATGGGAGTCTCGGTGGAGACGAGGAGTTGAGTCAGAAGCTCCTCATCTACTCGGCGACGCCAGGACTTGTTACCACTTTGCGCGATCTTTTTGGCCACTTCATCGACGCTTTCCCACTGGATACCGTACTTCCTCCATAGCAATGCACAGCGCAAGCACAGGGCCACAGTCAGTTGTGATCCCTTATCTTTTTGCTTCGACGCAGGCTCGCTCGAGGTAGTAGTGCCTGGCGCAGTACCTGGGGCGCGCCGCCACTGACGGGAGGTTCGCGTCGAGCAGAACTTGCACTGGAACCCACGCTTCTTTTCGACGGCTTTGTCGTTATCAAATGCCGAGTCATCATGATCGTCGGCCACATCGTCCACTAGCTTCGCCGCACTGCTTCGCTTCGCTTCCTTCTTGCCCCGTCTGCCTTCATAGGCGCCCCAGATTTGACGACCACGCGGCGTTTTCTTCCACATGTAGTAGAACCTCACAATCTGGTAGTGAGGTACAGTACCCACGTACTTGGTAATATTCCGCCACTCCGACCCAAACTTGGAAACTGCCTGTTCGAAGAGTTTCAGTTCTTCTGGGCGTAGATGCGGCTCTTTGAGATCCTTGTACTTGTTCATCGTCTTCAACTTTGCCAGAGCCGCGTCGGCATTGAAGCTATTAGAGTAAAGTAGTTCGAGAGCCTTGTCGAGGAAATTAGTAGCGTATTTCTCTTCCCCAAGTTGGGGAGCCAACGCCTTGGCGCGTTCCATGTAATCGTCCACGAACTTTTCCCGCTCGGCGGGGCTGAGATGGGAACCAGGCGCGTCGTCTTCGCCCCGAGAGGATGGAACCTGGTCTGCAGTGGGCATCTTGAACATTGGCTCTGCAGTGCGGACTTGCTTCCCGCCCACAGTGACTGGTTCGTCTTCACCGCGCCGCACGTACCCTAGGGGCTCGTCCATGACCCACTTCGGTCGGTTGGCCTTTTCCTGTTTGGCGGCTTCGATGGCGGCCACAGTTTCCTTGGAAAGCTTCGAATCTTTGCGACCTCCGGATCCTCGCATATACTTTTTCTTGATGTCGATAGGCTTGACATACTCCACCGGCTTTCCAGGCCAGGCATTCACCATGGCCTGATGCCGAGGACCCAACCGCGAACTGGCGCGCGGGTAAATGCGGTCGTCATAATCGAGGGCGTCTTCGACACGGCAGTGAATTCCCAAATAGCGATAGGGCCACATTCTGGCTTGCGCAACCTGTTCTTCTGTAGCCGGACGCACCTCTTCTTCCACAGGTGCCGGAGTGCTGCTTGTGGTGCCATTCGTCGCGCCATGGGGTTCTTCTTCCTCCTCTTCGACCATCTCCTCATCAGCTTCCGGCTGATTCTCACCCAATATCGGAGTATTCCGTGCCTCGAGCTTGCGTTCTTGAGCGCGACTGCACGCTGCGCAAGCCCAAGCAAAGCCACGGGCCGGCTTCTTCGTCAGTACCGGTCGAACACAGTACATATGATAAGTGCTGTGACAGACGGCACAATCAACCGAGTCATTGCTATTCCAACGTTAGTATGATTGAATCAGCCCATCATAGAGAGTATGGATCGGTATACCTTGCGGCGTACAAGCTACAGCGCTTGCAGGTCTTCACGGCGCTGGTGAGCTCCTTCCGTCGTCCGATCTCGACCAGAACGAACTTCCAGCGCTCGTCCAAAACCTTTTTGACGTTGCCCGGGACGTTGATGACCTTGCTGGTTGGGATTACGTCGTAGTAGCGGTGGATGTATCGGTCAAACATCTTGTCGTACCAGAAACAATCCCGGGTCTTGCGGTACGTGTCGATGTCGGTTATCTCCGACAGGTGCTGGATCTGGCATTTTCCGCGTAGGGATGTGAGAGGACATGTGTCGGAGTGCATGGAGGCAAAGACCAAACGCGTGTCGGCGACCTTGCGCTGGATGTCACGTGGGCGATAATACCAGTTCACCCGCAGTGCCTCGATCGGGCCGGAGGGCGCATCTTTAGAGGGCAGGAATTCCATGATCCGTGCCAGATAGTACGGTTCCCCCGGCGGTTCACAGATCAGGTAGACGTGGTCTAGATGAGAATACTCAGTATAATTTTTTGTCACAGCAGCAAGGTTATCAAGTAAAAACATAATAGAGAAATAGAGAAAAATCAAGGAGGTGAATCTCACCATTAACGGCGTAGGTTGTGCCGTCATCGGCTCTGAGTTTGCCATCTTTTAGATAGGCACCGCGGCTTTCGAAACTGACCATGTTGGTTTCGGCCGGGTTGTACGCTAGTCCTGGGGCCGTCGTAAAGATCTTCTTGGCTGCATTCCCACTCGCAGCGTTAGAGGTGGTGGAACTGGCCGGCTGTTTCCGTTTCCTGGACGAAGAGTTGGCTGAGGTCGGTGCCGCCCCCTCCTCGAACTTGGCGGAAAATGAAGAAGTGCCAGGAATCAAGTCCTTGGCAGCAGCCGCGCCATTGGCACCATTGACCGCCGTTAGACTCTTCCGCGACGTTGCCGATGAGACGGGCTCCTCACTGTCGGCTTTGACGCCATTGACGAAGCTGCCGGAAACACCGCTACTCCGTTTGGCGGACTTGGAAACTGGTTGGGCGATCTCCAGGTCGACGTCGATGTCGCGATCTTCCGCATAATTGGGGCGGGGAGCGGCATTGCGACCTCTGGAGCGAGTCCCATACGGCGCTGGGGTGGTCGACGCGCTGGGAGGTTCCGTCGCGGTGACGTCTGAAGCAGACGCGCTGACGGCCATGGGTTGAGATGTGAGGTCGTTGCCGGTGGCGGCACTTTGGGGGGTGGGCGCCTCTACCGACCCCGTTCGGGAAGTCTGGCCAGGGGTGGGCATTCGACGGGATGTGCCAGATGGCGACGATGAGTTGGGTTTCCCGGGATTAAGAGGGGCCTTTTGGGATGGTGACCTGTCCGGGGCCATGGCCAACCCTCTAGTGGAATTCCCAAAATAGCCTCAAGTAAGAGGAGATGTATAATACCAAGAAAAAGGGTAGCGTTGTTGGGGGAAGTAAGAGAAAAAGACGTGGGCGATGCACCTCCGGCGTGGTTGGTTGGCGTTTGAATGTCCACAGGATAGAAAGAGTAAAGGGAACACCAAACTGGATGGGGACGACGCGGAGATGCAAAGCTCAGCAACGGGCCGGGACGGAGAGTCGATCCCTCATGAGATGGGGAACTCTGCAGCCGGGTGGAAGGGAGAGAGAAAGAGAGAAAAAAGGGAACACGAAAAAAAAAAAGAGAAGAGGAAAAAGGGAAAATGGATCAGGCCTCGCACTGCAAATATTTGCCCGAAGCAACTGGGGAACCGTCAATCAATGGTACCCGCCAAAACCCAGAAAGCGTAATGTAATGGAGAAGTGGCAGCAGCTTTGCTTGTCGGGACCGATTCACTTTAGTTTCTCCCGCAAGGGCGCCGAAAGGGTCAAGATTGGTGGGTGTTTAAAAGGGCAAAAATTGGAAAACGCCCACAGGGTGCGGAATATCAAGATCGACAGGCTTCCGGAAAGTGATAAGAACAACACCAACCCGAACGGGGCGGAAGGATTACAGAGGAACAACAAGAAGAAGCAGGAATAAAGCAGACCGGCGGGGAGGAGAGACTACCGAACTGCATGAACGATGAGGCGAAAAGGAGAAGAGGGAAGAAAGAAAGAATGTAGGAGGGAGGAGGGAAAAGAGACAAGAGACGAGAGAGGAGGAGGAAGAGGAAGAGAGAAAGGGAAAAGCAAGTGAAAGTGTGTGAGAGAGAGAGAGAGAAGTGAGTGAGGGAAGAAAGAAAGAAGGGAAAGGGTCGCTGGAAACGTCGGAGTAGTAAAATGAAGGTTAGCGGCGGTGGAAGCCAAACAAGCAGTAGAGCCACTTAGGGCGTTGGGAGACTCGTGGGGTGAGCACAGGATAAGATCAGTACTTGCACCACCAGCCAGTCAGATCTCTCCAGTCGGCGGAGGTGGCAGAAAAGTACGACCACAGGAAGTTATGGGAGTCAGTCAGTCCGTAATGTGTTGTAGGGGCAGGCAAGTAGCGAAGCTAGATACAAGAGCCGTCGTTTAATCGGCACTAGTAGGGACCTGATTGATTGATTGATGGAGGATGATGTATGCTGGACCGGGACTACCCAAGCATGGAAGTGAAGCACAAATCCATACAGATGGGATGGGGGATGACGTTGTGATGAGAGAGAAAATTGTAGGAGTAATATGAGAAGCAGTTGTGTCTTAAGAGCGTAATTTGATCGGAAGGGGGAGGGGGGATAGATAGATAGTTTGGAGGGATTGGGAGGGAAGAGAGGGAAGAGGGAAGAGGGAAGAGGGAAGAAGATGGATGGATGGGTGTGAATGTCGGAGAGAGACAGAGAGAAAGAGAGGGGAGGCGAAGATAGTAGCCAGCAGCAATAGTAACCAAACTGGCACTTCTTTCGTGACCCGGAAGGAAACGCGAGTCAAAAGTCAGAAAGGGAAAAGGACAGGCAAATGGGAAATGCAACAGCAGCAAGTAGTAGTAGTAGGAGTGAAAGAGGAAGAAAGCGAGAGCGCGCGCGAGAGAGAGAGACAGAGACCAGAAAGAATCAGGAAAGCCGTCGAGGATCCCGACCAGTCCACGTCCTCGCCCCTAGTCCCGATGTGTTAATATGACGGATCCTCCATCCACTCCCATGAACCAGATGAATAGTTGCTTTCCCTTCCTCCCTTTCGCTTTTCCTCTCTGGCACATAACTTGCTCTATCGGCTCTTCGTCCTATCTGCACATCCCCATCCCGGCCATTTCTACTCATGCTGGCCCCAGCCGGTCTTGATACCTAGCTCGGACAGTACCCAGGTTTCCCTCCCTTCGCTCGCTTTACTTTTTGCCTCCCACTCTGTCCAAAAAAATATCCATGAGTTTGACCTACTCCAGCAGTCTACAATGGATGTATTATGTAGGATGCATGGTTGTATGGATGTATGTATGAATGGATATCCGTGTCTGGGCTTCGGGGTTTATTTTTATAGCACCTTGCTCCCCTTGCTCGTCCAGGCGGCGGCGTGTTTGACCCGTTGGGTGATCTACGTCGGGACGCTGGGTTTTTAGTGGATTTACTTTCGTACTAGTAAAAGATCCCTCCCTCGGATATTAGTCGCTGGCCCTTGGAGGGGGGAAGAGAGAGAAAGGGATTGTGTGGGCCGAAAGACCCGAATGCGAAAGAATGATGATGATATCGGGAGAGAGGGGCCATGGCGATTGAAGAACGGGGGGAGAAGAGAAAGAGAGGGAGAGAGTAATGGGAATGGAAGGGAAGGGGAATTGGGGAGGGACCTGGAAACCTAAAATTAAGCAGCAGGGGAAAAATGGAAGTAAAAAGGAAAAAGGGTAAAATTGAAAAGAAAATAAAATAATCAAAATACAGAGGACATGGGACGGACAAAGGGGAGAAGGGCAACGGGGGGGAGAGAACCGAAGGAAAATGATCAAGAGAAAAGATAATAATAATCATAATAATAATAATAATAATGATAAAGACGGGTCAAACGATCTTTGCATTCATTCATATTTCACGCATCCACATATCCAGTCATGCATTCATTCATTCATCCATTCATTATTATACTCTGGATCTATGCATGTCCTTCTCCTTCCCTCCATTATTACTTACATTCGGGCAGTCAATACACAGTTTAAAGTAAGATGGATAGCATGGGAAAAAAGACACTGCAGGTAGGAGATGAGGCGTGGCCAGGAGAACCAGCGAGAGGGCATGTCGAATCTGTGGCAGGAATGTTGTCACGTAGGGCAGCGCATGCGCGTTGGATCTGAAATCCAGAGCGCCAAGTCCTTGTGCAGTGAGTGCCGAGTGGACAGATGGACCCATCCATGCCATCGAAGGCGCAGCGGATATCGTCTGTTTCAGTCTAGGACAACGGAAACGGCGTCAGCATCGTAACCAGAAGCAGGGTCGGCTGGACAGGAAAAGAAATGGTTCAAGGTTCTTCTTCTCGCAGTTCCTTTTCCCCCTTTCCTTTTTTTTATTCCTTCTATTCATATGGAGAACGATTATCTTTGAGCTATGTCATGTATAATCTCAAGCTGAAAAGTGAGCGGGGGATTGTTGGAGAGTAAAGGATGGTATGGGAGGTCGTTCGTGGCAGTGATACCGCATTGTTACGGGGGTGTTCTGGAACTACGTACTAATCAGGGCCTCCTATTTGCAGAACACCCAACCCCCTCCTCCAAAGTTAGTGAATCACTCCGTGGAGTTGTATAGAAAAGATATAATAACAACGATAAACATCGGAAATGAAATCGCGTGAACTTGACTAAATTCTTTGTCTAAAATAGATTAGTTACTTTAGATATAGCGGCTGATCTATGGTGTTAGTGGCAGCAGCAGCAACAGCAACAGCATCATGTATGAAATCTCGTAGGCGGAGAGCATTTACTACATCAGCAGCAGAGGCGACTCGACGGTAATTAGCAAGCAGGTGGCCAGCCAGAAGGCGATCGAGGTTAAAACATGGTACCGGACTCGCCTTTTTCACCGTCTTTGAGTTTGGACCGACGGTCCATGCTGAGAGAGATTTTCCCGGGGGTGGTTTCTTACTGTCTGACCTAAGGGAAGGGGAGGGGCAAGTTGGCGCAAAGAAGTGGTCCTGTACGACCGGAGACTGGAGGCATGGATACGTGCTGGAAATGCTAAGCCATTTTAGCTTAGGCGGACAACCGAAAACTCGGTTCAGCGACACGACAGAAAAGGGTGAGGGAGGGAGGGTGCCAGTTCCATGGCTCCCTTCGACCTGCAATGCTAATTGACTAGTGGTGATTAGCAGCGACACAAAGTCGATCCTCAGGCAGGCCCGGGGCCTTCTTATGTGAACCTACCCACTCTCGGCCACTGAACTGACGGCCCCATCCCTCCGGTGCGGAAATTTACTCCTATCACTTCCGTGTGATCCTAGCCTGCGAGGCCAGTCTTGCCGGGACAAGCCGTTCAAGAACGCGCGGGAGAGGGAGAAATGATATACAGTTGACGGCGGTTGTCGCTGTGCTGCAAAAGAAGCAGAAGTGGGCGCATGTGGTCCAGCTGCGGCTATGAGGTGATGATAACAGTAATCCGTCCACCAGAGCGGGAACTTGGCCCAACCCTTAGCGCCTGGTCTAGGGTATAATAATAATAATGATACCACTTCAACTCGCCTTCCTAATCCTAGCAAGCCAACAACTCCTTAAAGTAGTAAGGTACTTACTCCTTA